CTTCCTCCCACACAGTCCAAAAACAAGAAAATGTTGCTTTATTGATGAATTCATTAAATAATATAAACTGTGCTAGGTCTTGGTTCAATAGGCTATGTGCAATCATTTCAATGTGTTTTAATAAACATTGAACCAGTCCGGCCCTCGGCTTGTAGCAAATTTGTTTTTTTGGCCCTCTGTGTGTTTGACTTTGACATCCCTGCTATAGTATGACTTTTTTTTTCAGGCCAAAACACATAATGTGTCATTTTCAGGAAATGCTTTCCTAAGGTGTTTTCTACCGCATGCATTGCACTATTTGCACTATTTAGTACATCCTGACTAGGGATGGACTGATACCTCTTTTTGATATCTGATACCGATACTTCAACTTTGAGTGTCTGCCGATACCGATACCATGTCTCCTCCTACACTTCTTTGGAAATACCTTATTTGCATGGATACATTTGTTTGAGATGGCTTTATCAAAAGCCTCATACTATTAAAGCATAGACTTTGCTTGTCTAAGAAAGGAAAAAATAGCCAAAAGCATGTCTCAAAGTGAAACTGTAGCTGCTTTATTTGAGCTGCAATTAGACTACAGTGTGCACTTAACCCGGTACGCACAAGTCCCGCCCTTGTAGATTCGACCAGTCGGGTTGCAGACACTCTCTGATGCTGTAAACTTGTAGCCAATGAGCAGACGAACACGTGGATGTGTCGGAAGGCAGGATTGTGTGTGTGTGTGGCGGTATCGGATCGGCCAGTTACCGCTGTGAAGTAAATCATCCGATACCGTAATTTCGTCCAGTATCGGCCCGATACCGAAACCCAGTATCGGATCGGCGCATCTCTCGTATTTATCACTGACAAATGAATGTCATGGCACAGTGACATCAAGACAGACAGGACGACAAATAAGTCACAACACAGGCAGAAGCAGATATAATTGGCTGTATTCAAATTTTGAACACATCAGTCTACCCAACATTTAGTGCAAGTTCTGCAAACATCACATCATCATTCATACAAGAGGTTGCTGCAAGATTGTCCTGCTGCATCTTCAAATGAGTAAAAAGACTGAACAAAAGGATGTGGTAATAAATTAGCATCGATCAACAGGTGAACAGAGGTGCATGGCGATGGGGATTTAAAGCTATTTTCCACTCTGAGCAGATCATCTCAACCTTTAAACACACGTTGAATAACAGAGACAGTATTTTTATGGTGAGTCGTCTTGGTGTTGAGTCACGCTGAGGATTAGAAATTAGAATGAACTGATTGTACAGCAAAGCCAGAGTTTTTTGTGAAAACGTTACAGTACTATTGTCCACATTCAGTGCACGATGCCCTGGTGAGTCGGATGAAGAGCCACGAGCCACATCTACACAGACAGACTTGAAAACACATCAACAGCAAATTTGACAATAAATTAACCACTTGTGCAAATACATTTCTTGTTCCAGCTTCAGAAATGTGAGGATTTGCTGCCTTTCCATTTTGTGTCACCGTAAGTTGTGAGTTTTTTCCAGGCAACGTAAGCAACGTGAAGATGCTACGTCAGAGTGTTTTATTTGCGTTGTGCGGTGAACGAGGACGGGGCAGCAGGTTTCAGCTGCGCATCGAGCTCAGTGAACACAGACATGCAGACATATCGATGCTACGATGTGAACATTTCTGACTGAAATACATCGAACAAGCGTCAACTGTTACTTAAGTTTGAATTTTAAAAACGAAACTGGAGTCATCCGACTTCGCTCAAGGTTTTTCTGGAACTTTCTCTGAACGCACAGCTGCCGTGGAGATGTCGTGTAGCCTCCACCAGCTGAGTGAAGTTTATTCACTGATGAAAACTGGGATGCAGTTAGAAGCTTAAAATAAAAGCTAGTAAGTGGAGCTTTATTCCCAGGGTCAAGATTTCATTCTAAAAAAAATGGCCTGTAGATTGTGAGTCCCATCAAAACAAAACAGCAAGAGAGAACAAAAAGGTTGAAGCAGCGAGTTGCAATGCAGAGAAAGTCCCAGTGAGTCATCGGGTGTGTTGACTCAGAGAGACATGTTTCAGATGTCTGCACACACTGTTCTGATGCCGACTGCTTCCATAGGATGCAGCATAACCTCTACGTTCATTTCGACAGGATCTCATAAGACCAGAACGCTAAAGAGCCTCCGTGATTGCACCGGACGTCGTTGGCAGAGGGTCATGTGACGCAAAGCCTTGCAGAGGGAAAAACAGCATCTGGACACGACACGCTGCTGAAAGCCGACGTCGCCCCAATCAGATGTTCCACACCGTAAACTTTAAGATGAGCTTCTGGCTTTAAGAAATCAAAGTATTTCTACACATTTTTGTTTGACAGTAATGAGAAATGATGGAGAAAAAAAAAAGTGCAGTTCATTAACAAAACATAAACAGAATATGAATACTTGGCAATACATGTAAGTTGTTTTTGTTTTTTTTTTTTAAACCTGTAAAAGGTCGATCGTGACAATCATTTACTCATGCACGCATACACACAGGTAGAACACCTACGCCGTGTGGCTGAAGCAACGCTGAGGCCTGTCAGTGAAATCAGGCTGATGCTTGTCACTCAGCCGTCACATCCACGGACAACATGAAGAGACATCATTCAACTGCTGCCATACTGGATTCCCTGTGGTGCTGCTCTGCTGCACTGCTCCTGAGAATAAAGAAACCTTCGCGGTCATTCGAGGAAACTAACCGTCCCTTCTGCTTGACAGACTTTATAACAGCTTTTTTAAAGATTTTGGCAGCCTATTGAACTCAATTAGATGAAAGTTTGATCAGGTTTTTATATATTATTTGAAAGCCAGATCAAGTGATCCGATACTTGTTTGTGTCAAGGTAATTCTTCTTCAAGTAGTTTTGCAGTAATGAGCGCCCCAATCAGCAGATCCACGCTACGGCCTCCACATCTATTGTTATGACTGGTTTATTATTTTATTCAACTTGACTTGACATCTAGGCGCCATCATGAACTCTTCCTACAGCCGAAACAGCGGAAAAAAAATATTTAAAGTCTCCGCTAAGATCCAGATTTTGGCCAAAAGTATTTGATTCGTACGTGAAAGTTAAACATGTGATTCACTGATGAGGCGCTCATTGCAGCAAAACAGAACCTGTGAAGAAGAAGAATCTGCTGCTTCCGAGCAGCCTTGGCATCAGCTTTGCAGTGAGCTTCAACCCTGTTGTGTTTTCCACACCCTGTCGAGTCCAGGACGTGGTCGTATGATCGCTAATGTCTCGTGAAATCTGTTAGATTTGACTGTCTGACCAGAAAAAACGACACTGATGCTAATTATTGAATCTTGTGGAGGACTTGTGCGTGGCGAAAGCTTTGAACAGCTTGGTCAGACGAGTGATCGTGTGTTTGATGGTTACAGGTCGTGTTCCACGCTGAAGTGCCTCTTGGTTATTTCTTATCAATAATTTAATTCTTCACAACAGAGACGTGGAGTCATGGAGTCAAAACTCAAGTCCAAAGTCTGTCCGTTTAGCGAAGGTTTGGGAGAGAGAAGAGGGGCGAGAGGATAGCAGCAGTCACATCCTGGGCTCCCGGGGCTTTAATGAGGTCGCGACACCTCGTTACATCCAAACTGCAGCTTTAGAAATGTTAAGTACTCTCCTCCAAATCCCTGCGCCGCGCTCTCTCCAGGTCCGTCTTCACTGCAGCTGGGAGACCTTGAGAGGCGAAGTACTCGCAAAGTCTAAGAAGAAGGGTCCCTCCTGTTTGGGCAGGAAAGTGGTGGGGATGACGTTGTAGATGCCTGCAGGGACGTGCTCCGCCTCCATGTAGCAGAAACCACATCTATTAGAAAGACAAATAGAAAGAGAGAGCGGTTTTAATGTTCCATAAACATCAGTGTGGAGGGGTGGCAACCAAACATGTCAGTTTAAAGGGATTAGAACTGAAGCACTAAGTGTCAGACTGATGGACAGATCGCTAACCCTCTTCTCAGTTTCAGCTGTTGTGAATTAAAGGTGGAGTCTGTGATCCTGGTTAAATACTAACTAACTTCTCAGCGTAATAAACCGATGCTCACTGGTCAGGATGGAGGAATTAGCTGATAAATAGGCTACTCACTACTGTAAGAAGCTGCAGCTGAGAAATGATAAATATCTGTTTGGGGTAGTTTGTCCACTAAAAAACACTAAAAAGTTGTTTTTTACACTTTGAGGCGTCAGGATCCAATATTTAAGGAACAATTATAAGAAAATATTCATTAGTGTTAGGTGTAAAATTAGTCAACTATCAGTTTTTTTGAACTCTTAAATACTGGATTTCTACTGTCAATTTCGAGATTAAGTTGAAGTATTACACATGCTACTGTCTTATGATGAAGGGAATAAAGTTCACTAGTTTGTACTCTTGTAAGCACTGTTTCTACTGACCAACCGACCACATCCACTCAGTCAAAGCTGAACTCCTGGAAGTCTGTCAGAATATAAAAAAAAACATTTCTAGTTCCTCCTATGGGCAGAGCATTAATAGGATGACACAGAGCGTAACGTGACCGTGTCCTGACACACCCGATTAAACCAGTTAGGTCCGAGGACGGTTGTCGGGTAAAGTCTTGTGACAACGTGATCCACATCGCGAGTCACACAAATGCTTTTGTTGGTCGCAAATCAACTTTAATACAATGCGGACATGTCTCCTCGACAACAACAACAACGTTCAAGATGCTAAAAATAAAGCTGAAATTCTCATGATACAGTTTCCGCATGAAGCAAATTCTGACCAGTAAATATCTAGAAAATGGCAGCGTGACACAAAAGGTAGCTGGGTTGTTTGACATTAGAGATGCCCTTCTTGTCTCTGCAAGCATTAAAATCTGATTATGTCTCACTAATCGTTACTGACTATGGTTTCTTTTATCTATTGTAATCTAGTGTGTCCATACAGTGAGGTTGGGAATTCATTTCACATTGTGTTTCAATAACAGCTGCAAACAAGCGGACCGTGACCTGTGATTTGTTTGACGTTTTCTGTGCAAAGAAGTCAGGATTGAGTGCAGCGGTTCCCACTGCAGGCCGAATGAATAATCCAGACCTTCGCTCTATCTGCTTTCTGCAGGCCTGTGTGCTTTTTCTCCACTCGTGCTTGCTCACGATGGCTGCTGGTACCTGTAATCTCCACTGGTCTTCTTCTGGAAGGCTGCTGGGCCCGGATCACCCACTGTTGACACTGTCACCATTTCAAAACCAACACTGTACTGCCTGCAGACACACAAGAAGAAAAACAGTGAGAGGGGATAACTGCTGACATCAACACACGCTGTTCATGCTCAAGGCAGAGTCACACAGTTTTGCTGTTTCTTGCTATGAGGGAAAACAACATCTACGTGTCCTGTCGTCACAAAAATTCAGAGGCTGTGAAAGTGAAAAACCGAGCGGTACACTCGACGCCTGTAGCCCTCCTGGAAGTCTCATTATGCAAACATGTCAAGCACCATCTGCAGTGAGTGCTAAATCGCCGAAACTGTGCCCGAACAACTACTCTTCAACTTGAATTTTGAGGAAGAGGAAGGAGTCGGATGGAGCCGGATCTAGCGAGTAGGGCAGGTGGGGAGTGACGACTGTGACGCTGCGGCCAGAATATCCACACATAATCGCCACAGTGTGAGCAGGTGTACAGGAGCAGCTACATGCCACAGTTCAGGCCATTAGGGGCGAATATTCTCCCTCAGACACCTCAGGACGCTACAGTGCAGCTCTGTTTTAACGGTCCGGCCCTGAAGAATGAATTCATGACGCGCGACTGCGTGAATGTTGAAGACAACAACAAGGTCTGGGTGTGCTCCTGACCTCATGTGGTTTATTTATTTCCACTGCATTTTCTTCTCTCAACAGCAGCCACAAACCCACCAGTGATGCTCCTTGAAATTAATTCAGGGTCAGAAATCACAAATGCACACCTGCCTGTGGTATTAAAAGTAAAACAGATCCTGCCGCGGTGTCATCCGGTCTCCTGGCAGTTCACACAGACACTTTGTGATCACCCGTCGTGTTTGCTTCGCTGTGCTGCAGAGTCAGGCTTCAGTACAATAGGTCCTGTTTTTATTTTTCAAAGTCTCCTTCCTGACCTCTTTACAGCCTGTACACGCTGGCGAAACACGTAACTGCTTCAACAGTACAGTCACACTCGTTTCTAATTAACTGCAAGAAAATGCAGAGAGGCCAAATTTAGCTTCACGGCTCAAGTTATGCAAATAATTATGTAAACGTAACGGAAGACGGTGTGAAATGTAGCGTCTCCTGTCACCTAAGGACTGAGAAATAAACATAATGCAACAACTGAGTCATCCCTCTGTGTGTGTGTGTGTGTGTGTGTGTGTGTGTAGGAGAGAGAGACGAGACGGAGAGAAGAAGCCAGAGGATCATTATGTGCTAATGCTTCATTAGAAAAGTCATTGAGTCATCCTGCTAATGAGTTCTTTAAAAAGCCAGACAGACTCATTTAAAATGAAGTGAAATAAATTTACACCATTACAGCAGATTCAGGCCTCAGGTCCACTCGCAATAGCAGCGTTACATCACGACCAGCACAACGTTTAGAGGGGGCACGATTCAGGGACAACGTCTGACTGCGATTTATCTGACAGATATTGATTAGCGGTCCATTCTTTAGGGTCGAGCTTCCCTTCAATAGATGTCAAACATGCCCACGGAGCGTTGCCGCTTGAGACGCTATCAAAAGTGTGGCTGTCACAGGAAAGCAGCGTTTTTGATGCGTTACATAAGAGTGCGCTCCTTTGTTTACACGAGCTGATTGTGTGTGATGTGACCAAACCACTGCCGGTGCTAACGTTGGATTTTATACGTTTACACAGAATCACTCCACATGTATGAATCCCCTCTCCTTTAATGTGTCATAGCTGATTGGACCGGGTAATGGCTTTTTCTTTCATGCCTCTGATGATCAAACATGGCTTCATGGTTATGGATGTTACTGCCTGATGCTTTGGCTCTTGACAGCATGTAGTTTTTGCTTTTTACATTTTTGTGTGGATGATTGTTTTTGTTTTGTTTTTTAAAAACGGTGCTTGTGGGAATTTAATTTCTTTTTTTTTTTTTTTTAGAACAAAGGAGAAAAAACCTTGCTTAAAAAAAAAAACACCTACGTATGTGTGGACTAGGCCTTGATGGCAACAAAAGAAAAAACATTTTAGAAAAATAGAGATGCAACGATATCCGTCAGTCTGCTACAGACATAAAAGACTTTTCTGAAGTGAAGCTGCAGGTGTCTGATTTTGTTTTGTCAGTCTTAACCCTCTCTCCTGTTGTGAACAACTGGAAAGCACTCAGATGATTCTTTTGTTTACCGTTTTGTTTGTGGCCTGCAAATCCAAAAAAAAAAAAAAAGTTTTGTTGAAAACATTTGTGCGGATGAAAATTATATCCGTTCGTTGCGTCCTAGAGCGTTTATATAATTTTTATATGGCAAGATATCGGACGTATCCATAAAAGAAAACGTGGTCAAGAACACAGAGGGTTAATTTCATAATTATATTCTGTGGAATAAAATCTAGTTGTTCACTCGGAGATCTTTCAGAACATGTAGAAGTTGGGCTGATGTTGGCACTAAAACTCATCATTTATTAATGTCAGCGACACGCAGCACCAAGCAACTGACCCAGACATACAAAGCACACAACTAAGAGCAGAAATGAAGTGGAGTCCATCCATCCATCATCTATACACCGATAATCCTCACTAGGGTCATGGGGGGCTGGAGTCTATCCCAGCTGACTCAGGGTGAAGGCAGGTTCACCTGGACAGGTAACCAGTCTATCACAGGGCTACACTTAGAGACAGACAACCAAGCACACTCACATTCACACCTACGGACAATTTACAATCACCAATTAACCTCAACATGTTTTTGGACTGTGGGAGGAAGCCGGAGAACCCGGAGGGAACCCACGCTGCATGGGGAGAACATGTAGACTCCACGCAGAAAGATCCCGGGTGTCCTAACAAGGACACGAACCGGGGATCTTCTAGCTACGAGGCTGAAGTAGAGTACGAATTTAAAAACTTGTCTGTGATGTTCCACCACCTTAAAAATGTGGATGGACAGCAGTCATGGGATTTCAGAGCAAATCAAGTGGTGATAATAAGATATAAAGGTCACAGTTAAGTGATACGAGTCTGACCTGGATCCTCGGAGCTCGACAAGCAGCGGTCCGGACCGCTCCAGGTTGATCTGATAGATTGGGTTGTGTTTGTATGAGTCTTTGTAGTTCCCACAACCCCCAGCGCTGACCCCCTTCCACTGGCCATTGATCTGAAGCAGAATCACAAACAAAAATCACCTTAATGAGAAACAAAAATCACATTCAGCTGAAAGCAGAAACACATCAGCGATCCTAAATATTAAAATTCCACCAGAGATGTTACATTAAAGACAGCACGCAGTCAAATTATTTCCGTTTACAGAACACAACAGACTCTCCGAATGATGTCCAGTTGAGCTGATTAAATTACCAAAGACTTCAAAGAACTGAACTACATGCTAAAACCCATAAGTTGTCTACTTGACGATGTACAAATAACTCACCCTTTTTGACTGAGTGAAGGGATTTGGGATCTTGGAGAAGGTGAACTTGCATCCAGAGTACACCTACATGAGGAAAAAACACATTATATTAAATATGAACAGGTCTTAATGCTTCGCGTTTATGGCTAAACTGGAACTGCTTCATAAAAGAAATGACTAAGCAAGCTAATATGGCCTTTACATTATCAGCAGTTTTGTAAAACGAAGCGTAGCACGTTTCCAAATTCTGAATATCACACGTTCAAACAAAGCTGTTAATTTATTCATGACTATCAGCTCACAAAATAGATCTTTCATATCAGCGCCGCTCTTGCAAAAGAAACATCAGAAAAGAAATCACGTTTCCTGCTTTGATATCTGGTGAAAACTCAGCGAAGAGAAGAGAAGAGAGCGTTCAGTTACTTTCGAGATGATTTGGAAACAGAAATGCTGATCTGGGTTGAGAGGAGATCGTTCTTTCACGGTCGGCTTAGTGGGGAAGAGCGGGAGGGAGCCTGCAGCGGTTAACAGCAGCCGATACGAACAGAACACACGGATACAGCAAACACACGGCGAACAGCAGGCACGTGCTCAGAGTGCATGTTGTTTTTTAATGAGTGACTTCGGTATAAACAGTTCTCCACGGTCCTCGCCGCAGTTAGCAAGGGGAGGCCATGAATTATAAATGACTAAAAAAAATATATATTTAGGTCACACGTGTGCACACATACAGCAAGCACACACACACATTTACACTTTAAAGTCTCAAAGCCTCTGCTCTAGACTCAAGAATCTGACGTTTTTCAGACAAACAAAGCAGGTGTAGCAGAAAATCTGAATTAATATGGAGAGGAAAAGGAGACAATAGGACTTATTGTCTCCACCTGCCTCATGATGCTATTGCAAGTACGTAAGTTTAAAAAAATAAAATAAAATAACGCAGACATTTGAGTCTTTGTGAGTTCGCTTTATAAAAGAAATTAGTTTGCTTTAATTCCTCGAGGACACGGTTTATGCATCAGTGTCAAAAGTTTGCCTCGTGTCCTGCAGTCTGCATAGAAAACCCACATCCAGGCAAAGACCAGAATCCCAACGAAGTAAATGAAAAACAAGAACTTCTTCATGGGATGAGTGATCAACTAACAGACCACAGAGTATACAATGGTCCCACAATCAGCAGTCTTTAATATAAAAGGTGCACAATAGAGTCAGACAAAAGAGATACTTAAATGTTGGTATTTGAAACACTGAGCCAATTCTAAGACGACACTAAATGGTAAACTTTAGCTTTAGCCCTGTGTTCTTGTTTTGAAATGTCCTCAATAGAAACATCCATCCATTATCTATACACCTCCTCACTAGGGTCATGGGGGGCTGGAGTCTATCCCAGCTGACTCAGGGTGAAGGCAGGTTCACCTGGACAGGTCACTAGTCTATCACAGGGCTACACTTAGAGACAGACAACCAAGCACACTCACATTCACACCTACGGACAATTTACAATCACCAATTAACCTCAACATGTTTCTGGACTGTGAGAGGAAGCCGGAGAACCCGGAGAGAACCCACACTGCACGGGGAGAACATGGAGACTCCACGCAGAAAGATCCCGGGTGTCCTCATCAGGACGTGAACCGGTGACCTTCTCGCTGCGAGGCAATGACACTAACCACCGAACTACCTTGCAGCCCATATTAAGCATTTATCTGTTGTTATTTTTTTGTACAGATTCCTGACAAGATAAATTAGCTCGAAAGTAGTTTGGCTCTGATGCAGCTACCTTTCACTACTCTGTGGTCTTGAGCAGCGTCCTGCCCACAGCATTATCTGACGGCTACAGGTCACGAGTAGTAGCCTTGAAAAGTTCAGTTTTAACTGAACATATGTAAAACACAAGTTTTTATTTTGACACCCAGATTTTCTTTTTTCCTGCAAATGTATCCCAGTTCCAAATATCAGTTCTTTGTTTCCTTGATGACTCGTACTAAAAATCTATACCAACCTTGAAAAACAGCATATTTATAGCATAGCTTATATGCCTCTGAGCACAAACAAACATACAGAAGTTTATACCAAAGTCTCTCACCCGTAGCGTGTAGTTGATGGTGTTCTGTTTCTCGTACTGGGAGACCACTAGAGTGAAGGTGTGTGTTCCTGCGCTGGTCAGCCTCATCTTGGTCAGATAGTGTGGGCTGTTGATGCGGATGCCATCGATGTAAGGAGGAGGGTCCGCTGTGGGAGAAGTCAGGGGAAGTCATTTCACAGTTTGGGTTTTGTTGAGATTTTTCTTCGCAGTTTGTTGGCGTTTTATTTCGGAGTTAAATTTCTTTCAAAGTCATCTGAGGTCTTTGTAAATGGAGTAATGTATCAGAACAGAATTATCTTTCTTCCAAGTGTCCTTGCTGTTTGTGACTACTGGGCAGAAAAAAAAAAGGCGTGACAGAGTGTTGCTATCAAACTCCTGCTGCCACTCATCTACAGCACACAGCGCAGAGAGGAAGAAGCGTCCTCTAAAGCATCTATCACACCTCACCTGGATAGTAAACCTTCTTGCCATCTGTCTTGTAAACGACCAGAGTGATGAACTCCCTGTTTTGTGCAAAATCGTCCTGCGCAAACAAACAGATAAACAGGAGTTATTCGATAACAGTGAGTCATTATTATATCAGCGTGCCACCTTACTGGATACATCACGATGTTGGTTTGTCAGTGTGCTCCAGCTGTGTGTCTCTACCTTGTCAGTGATGTGTCTGGTGAGCAGCACCCACACAGCAGCTCCCCCTGTTGGACACTGGACCTCCAGCTTGTACTGGGGATTGTTGGCCAGACTGTAGACATCTTTTACTGGGCCCTGTTTCCCATCCCAGCTACTGCAGACGGAAAACAAACAAGATCCCAAACACGCTTGAGACTTCAAACCAGTAGGTCCTTACATCCTTAAACCTAGTCTTCACCCTAACATGTATTATTTTACATTTTAGACACACCTGTGAATGCAGGAGGAATCTTTGAAGAGTGCAGGGCTCCAGCTCAGGTAGATGACATCATAGTACTGACAAAGGTCCTCCCATGCGATCCAGAAGACACCTGGGGAGCAACACAAGGTGGAAAAATCCATTAACAGTGATTCATAACAGTTGTTAAATTTGCAAGTGATAAAATACACAGCAATGTTTTGTTTGTATTGTCATTTTTTCCCCCTCCGCAACATTAACCTTGATCTAATAACAGCCGTGCTCCTTTTCATTCTAAAGCACCTCTGCTTTGTTTTAAAGTCATTGCACTTTTTATGTGGCCTAACATTTACCATTTGTAAAGCAATTTCCCTCCAAGCACTTCCATGGAGATAAAATAAAAGCCTTACTGTGATAGACAGTGTTTTACATTCTGGGATGCGTTCAAGGACACGAGCGAAAATAATGACTTCAGTGTCAAACTTAACTTCACGTAGCATTTTTTGGTTTTTCTCTGCTGAAACTGAAGGTGCTGCATTAAGGAGAAAAGGAATAAAAGAATACCGTTATCAAACTTCTGTGCTGTCTTAGGGTCAAAGTTGAGGTATTTGAGAAGCTCGGGCGTCCAGTTCTTCTCGTCCCGCTCGCTGTAGCGTCCCTTCCACCGCAGATGACTCCACGGATTCTTCAGCTGCAGGAAACGCATTCCCTACAAGAGTAACACACCCACGGACCGGTTAAGAGAGATCAGGAATTCTTTTTAATTCTCTGCAGGCTATAGGGACAATTGGATTTGATTATTCACCAGAAGTGGTAATTATTGTAGCTGACAGCAGGATTTATGAATCTGTATGCATTTTTTTCAATTTGGATTCCCTATTGTGCACGTGGGAAACTTTAAACTGGTAAGGTAGGATGGAAACAACAGGGTTTTATTTGTTTATTAAAAGAGACACCTTGCACAGATTGTATTTTATACTAACGAGGCTTACTGTGTTTCAGTAGTTTCAGTGATAACTCAAATATTCATTAGAAAAGCTGCATTTATATCATTGTATTCCAGTTGAGAGGCTGAGTTTGCCTAAAGCGCTTGTAATTGTCAGGACCGCAGCTCTGCAGCAGGGACATTGTGTACTAAATGTCATAAAGCCTGAGGTTTTTCCATACTCTCCCAGAATAAATATTAGCATGTGTAATGATATGCTGATGCTAACCTTGTAATCCCTGATGTCAAGAACAGCGTAGGCATGTGTTGGCACCAAACCCCATCTCTCCCCTTCCTCCTCTGTCATGACGCCTGTTGCCGTGGTGATGAGAACATCACCCCTGTGAAACCTGAAAGAGGAGAGGGTGAAGAAGATACGGAGGGAGAATAAACACAGAGGTTGGTTTAGCCAGGGGAGAACAAAAGGAAGGGAGGTGGAGAAGTCATTATATATTAATAAAATAACTATCTCTGTGTGTGTTTGAGTGCTGATCACCTCTGGAAGAGCATGCGGAAGGTGTCGTCCTTGCTGAATGACTGATTGTCAGAGTGCATAGCGATGCGTTCAGGGATCCAGCCAGTGAGGGCATGCAGATCGATATTCTGTAAAAAGAGGAATAATATATATCTTTTTAAAAATCTGACTTTTCATAACCTTATGTCTTAAGAAGCATCAAACTTTGGTTTGAAGTCAAAATGACAGTCATGGTTAAATAGTCCTAAAAAGATGGTATCTTAGTGGCAC